GTTTCATACTCCAATCCAACTTTATAAAGATATCATACAGGTCTGTATGTATATTTCAAATTTTGTGACATCAGTAGTGGGCGGAACAGGGACAGTCAGGGTACGGTAGGGAGTAAGCGAGGTACGGTCCGGCATATCAGATAGTTACCAGGGTACGTTCCGGTATACCGGACCATACCCAGGGTACATTCCAGCAGTACCCTTGGGGGACATAGACCTTATCAGCGCAAGTGACAGTGTAAATTTCCTTTAAATGCCATTCATATGCTCCTCAAGCTCTGCAACACAACTCACAAAAAGCAATCTCATAACCTCATAAATGTTAGTCTTCAAAATTCCTGGGGAGTATAACGAAGACGGAGAGGGAAGTATATCAAATCTAGATATAGATCCACACTGCGGATCGCAGTGGAAAAGGCTGCAAATTTGCAATTTACCAATGATGAAGACAGGGAATTCCAATACGGGATCACAGAAACAAAGAAGCTCAACTTAAAAGGATCCTTAGAAGTTTGCACGTGCCGAAAACAGTGATCACGCTCACTCATACAAGTACACAGTACTTACACATGCCGCAGTGCACGAACAACAAATAAATAGAGAATATAAAGGCTTCCTTGTACACAGCAGTGTGCGTGTGGTAGACTTGTCTGTTTCAATGGAACATTTGAGCTTTAAGTTTAACAAATGGATTGGACTGCAACATTTAGAGCTTTGAGTGACATTTACAGGAAATTATCAGTAATAATAGGCTAAAGGGAGTAGAGAAACATTATTATTAAAGTGGTACTTTCCTCTAGAATTTGAGAGTATATTATGATAGTAGATTTGTAAATAATAGCATATGCCTACAAATTTCTATAATTAGGCATTCACGTTTGTCATAAAACAACATTGAATTTCGAAATCTTCATTTTCGGTCGCTGACATGACACATGCGGCTAAACAGAGGAATTGCTCCGACCTGTGATTGGTTGAATTTGTGACATTTCTCAAGTCTGTCAGTATATGACACACATACAACTCTGCTGATAACAAAACCTAGTCTAAGGGTGTGAGGGAAGTAGCTATTGCTTATGCAACCTTCCCCTCCCCCTCTCTTTTCTTTTTCTCTTCTCCTCTCCCCCTTGTCATATGTCGAGCTGCCTGTGTCAAAACGTTACATCAGCTGATGTTCTTGAGCTAATCGGAGGTTGCAGCAATTCCTCTGTTTAGTGATGTTGCCAGTCAGCGGCTAAACCGTAAACGGAGGAATGGTCCGAATACAACATGAACGCTACTTGAACAAGAAACTCTTCGCGAAAGTTAGCAAATATTTGGTGAATACTCTATAAAGAATGTAAACATTGTAATCTTTTGAAAATAAACTATCATGTAAGTACAGTCAGTTAGACATCTAAACATCTCAAGTTCTATTTTTATCTTCAAATCACAGGTCGGAGCAATTCCTCTGTTTAGCTGCATGTAATATGACACCCGCGACCGTGCAGTTCAGGGCCTAATCCAAGCCATTTTTCATACCGAATACCAGCGCCCAAATTACGACCCCTAGCAAAACGCCCAAATTACAAAATTCATAGAACACCCAAATTAGCAGAGCTCTGAAAATTGTAAAAATTAAATCTCGATGTTTCTATCGTTATGTAGGCACTGTTTTATAATAAAATGCTCATAAGATCTATAATCTATTATCTGAATAAAAATTTTCATGTTATTATACAATATTTTTGGCATCTCAATGTTGTGTCACTGACCTAAGTGATGTGCTAGAACATTTCAGTTGGCATTTAATATGACAGAGAACTGCTTTAGGTTCTTTATTATTAACAAT